TCCTGACAAAGGAACCAGTTTGTGCAAAGGTGCAGAGTTGTGAGAAATGGTGGAAAATTTAGTAGTGAGGGAGCATGGTTTCCTTGAAGGATGGTGGAGGATATCATTGGAGAGGCCATATGTAGGTCATGTAAAGAGCAGATATCTTGTCTTCTGTAGTACATGGGGTCAGACAGGTAAGGTAAATGAGTATGAAGAACAGTATTAGAGAGTAAAGGAAAGAGGTAGGGATGGATGTGTGGAACTTGATTGTTCCTGCTTTTCTGAAGGGGGACGTTATAGCTGAATGTAGCTACATGGGAATGTAAATCCAGTGTTAGAAGGTCTTTGATTTTTCAATAGAAAAGCAGGAAAGCAGGGAATCTGGATTTTTAAAATGTGGAATCTCCAGATTTCTAAATGCTGATAGCTGATTCTTCTTTTTTAATCCAAAGTGTTAGCCAGTACTAGACCAAACATAACATATCTACTGACATATCTACTGGATACAGCCTGCACACTATTGTTTTGAGATCTGTGCTGTAGGGAACAGGGTACTTATGGAAACATAGAAGCTAATTGAAGCAAAACTTTAAAACACTAAGAAAAAAATAACCACAACATTCTTCACTGGATTGCCCCATTTCAACATTTCTACTGCATATGAAACTGTATGTTCTTCCTCTGGGAAACCAAAGTGAGGTCCCAAGTCAAATGCAACTCCCAAGGATTCTAAGGGCAATGGTGCAACCCAGGATCTCAGTCAAGCTGTTAAAAGCTTGGTAGAACATGGTAATCTGAGGCAGGATGACCCCTAAACATCATCACCGCCTATAGGAGATGGCTTTCAGTTGTTCCCTTTTCATTTTAGAAGAAGGGGCAGCCTCTTTAAACTGTGTATGCAATGAAGTCAATATAGTCAGTGATAACACAGATAAAACACAATGGAATAGCTGTTATGAATAATGAAGTTTAAACTCTGATGAATTTAAACTTCATCACAATCAGAGAAGCTAAGATCCACCTCCTCCCCTCCAAAAAAACAGTGACTTTCTCAGAGTGACCCAGCAAACTATGGCAGGGTCAAGTCTCCTACTTCTGGCCTGGCATTCTTTAGAATAATTCTGGTCTGTGATAATTAAAGTAAATCAGCCTGGCAGTTTTCCTAGCATCTCAAATTCCTGGACTGGACAAACCAGGACTTGAGAGCAGCTGTTATTTTTGTTTTCTTTTTCTTATCTGTATGATGATGATACTCTTTGCAAACTTTATTTTCATGTATAAGGGTTAAAGAGAGGACACAAAAATGTTTCTGAAACACTGAGAACATTCACAAATCTGTGGAAGAAAAGCTGTCTGTGGCTAATATATTTAAAGCTTATGACCTCTGTGGTTTCTGGACTGACCTCCCCACCATATGCTTTTGGTTTTGTTTTGTTGTTTCTCTAATTTTGTTTTCTTCCTCTTCCCTTTTATATTATTCCTCTCTCCTACCAGCTCAGGTCTTAAGTCTACCTGTAAGTGTTTCTGGGCATTGCTGAGCCTCCTTGGTGGCACTCAAGATGCCTTCTTCAAGTCAATAAATTTGTTAGTTGTCCATTCTTCAATTAACATGGGAATAAGAGAATATAGTGACTGAGGACCACACATGTTTCCTCTGCTGTGGTCATTTAGCTCTCTATAATCTAGTAATTTGTTAATTGTGACTCTTGATTTAACTAATCCTCTTTATCCTTCACTTCTGGGTCTATTGTTCTGACAATTGCTACTTTTTAAATTTTCTGCGCTGAACCCATTTCTGATTGGTGCAGCTGTTGAGGATGCTGCAGTTACAGCAGTGTACATCTGGAACATTTGGCTGACTTGTTGAACTTCCCCCAGGGAGTACTCCAGAGGAAGGATGGGAGGGGTGGAGAGGCCAGAATGGTTGCCTGCAAACAGAGATGCCAATAATGTCTGGTCATTCTGTAGACCACCCTTGTAAAAAGTCACTTCATCTTTGCCCTCAGTTTTCCTCTTCGCTCATTGAGGGCACATGTTCTCTGCACTCAAAACTGCTGCAGGGAAAGAAGAGAAACTATTCTGGCTATGGATTTTCTCATAAAGTAGTTTCTGCATTGTAAAGGGATCAATATATATTTGTTGAATTAATACATTAAGAAATCATAGGAAACTGTTTCACTTCTTATGGCAACATTACTTCAGTTCCACTTGGCACGGGTGGGTTTCTCCGTGACTTACATTGAGCCCCCGGATTCATTCCAGTAGTGAGGGCTGCCTGAGTCCCACCCTGTTTCCAGTCCCTTTGGCTCCCAGGCTCCTGGGTCTCCTTTTCTTCTGCTGAGCCATTGGATTGCAAACACAGCAGACATGGTTTCATTCCAAACCCAGAACTGTTTTAATTAGTTTAACGTCTGTTAAACGCTTTGAAGATTGAAAGCAACAGATAAGTACTGGATGATGTTATTAACAACTGTAATTAATTGCAAACATTTCTATTAATGCTAGTTTCTGTCTCCTTTTTGCTCTACTTTCTTTCCATGTTTCCCAAATTCTTCTCAGTCGTCGCCCCCCGCTTTCTCTCCCTCCCACCCCCATACTGGCATTAAAGGGTTAAATTGGGGCGGAGTCCAGAGATGAATGACAGTGGCAATCACCAACTAGAACCCAGCAAGCGGAAAGAGCTGGGTGGGGCTGCCAGGCAGAGGCGAACCCTCACGCCCCCAGGCCCCGCCTCGCGGCTGGAGGCCCGGTGGAACGGCAGGGGGCGGGGCGATGAGGCTTGGCAGGCCTGGTGGTTGGGCATCCCAAC